ATTGTCTACAAGTACTTCCAGTAGTTCTTTTCTCCTGGAAATTTTACAAAGCCTTGCAGATTATTGAGGAGAAATTAATAGTTCTATAGTGATGATGTGATGCTTTTTTACCTTTTTTCACCACTATAATTTGTTTCCATTCAGATTTTGAGGTCTGAACTAAACTAAACTGGGTTTTAGTTCAACCCAGTGGAAGAGCAAACAGAATGGATTATCCACCTTTTTGAAGATAGAGGTTACATGTGTACAGTTAACTTGGGTCAACTTGAATGTTATCAGTCAGGGTCAAGAAACTCAATCTTCTCTGATCAATGGTAAGAAATACGAAGCAAGAGAAAATCAGCAGATGTATTCTCTTCACCCTGACAGCTCAGTTTAGATTTGATAATTCCCTGTGCTTATGCCTTTGTTCAATGACAGGTTATTACTCTTGAGTTTTTAACAGGGTCATAAAACAACATGAAAGTTCATGAGCTGAATATGCTGCTTTAAGAGAAAATACTGAACAGAGAAGTGCTATATTTTGCTGACAGATTGCAACATAACAAGAACACTAGAAACTGAAGTCATCTGCTGGTAGTGTGGCAGTGTAACAGTGAAGCATGCTCTATACCCTCTATAGTTTGGAGACCCATAAAACCCAAAGTCTGGTGGTGATCCAGGATGGCATGCTGCACTTACAGGAATGGTAACACTGAAATCACTCTCATGTTCTAGTCATACTCCCTTCTGTTTGACAAATCTCTGAGCTCTGCAGGGCACAAGGAGGCACCATTCCCACAACAGATGAAGAATGAGGATCAGGCAGCCTGGAAGGGACTGAACCTGTGCAGACAGACCTGCAGTGGCATTTTGCACAGGAAAAGGAAGATCTGATACAGTTGCAAATGTGATCCCTGCACATCCTTCTGGTTTACAAACATCAGAAATTTACTTATGGAAATAAAGCCTTTTTGATTATTTTGGCAATACAATCTAAGAAAAAAAAGCATTCAAATACAGCAAAATAATGTAAGGAAAAGTAGAATTTGTACAAGTTATAAAATAAATCTAATAATACAAACTGCTGTATAAGAACACAATTAGATTCAGATAGGAACCTAAACTGACATTTCTTATCTTCTAAGTACATGACTTTGCAACCTTAATACTGTAGGTTTTGAATGGGCAATGTCCTTGTTTTCTTTAAGAACACCACAGCTACAGCAAATACATTATGTAGAAGGGCTCAGCAACAGCATCAAAGTTGGATTATCACTTAATTTCAAGTTTTCAGAGAAATTAACTTATTTTTCTTACAGTGCCTGACTACGAAAGCTGAAAAATACCTCAAATAACTGAATTTAGCTAAGCTGTCACATTTTACTTATAATTTTTTACAGGGAGGAATGGCTGTGTAGGGACTTTTTCTGACTACTTAAATTTACATAGAGATTAATGCACTTGAGACATTCCATGAACACAGATCTGTTTAATTGGTTTCTCTTCACTGTAAGCATTCTACCCAAGGTATTTTTTCAGCACTTGAAAAACTGCAGACAAGAAATCCAGTTTGTAATCATCTCACTGAAGCATGCAGCAGCCTTCTATTAATTTTCTATTGATACATTCTCTGCTGATTGGCTGCAAGTGCAGCCCTCTCTGTGAAGTTACACTATAAGCAAAAGGTAAGAATAACCTGTACAAAGTGATGGCTGATAGGAACAGCTGGCTGGGCACTGTGCAAACCGCCATGCTGGTAGCTGCCACCAGCTGACTCAGAAACTGTCAAAGGCTTCTAATCTGCTTCACTTTTCCCTCATTTGCTGCTGCATTTTTGCTTAACGGTGAAATCTTGACAAGGTATTGCTGTGGCTTTGTTTCAGTTTAGTTTATACACAGATCTTGCTATACCACAGCTTTGGCAGCTACTAAAATGTACTCTATACCTCTAAATTCCCAGTGATTTTATAGTCTTCATAACAGTTAGATCTTATCAGCCAGTGAATTTCATCTTCTTAGATAGGTGAAATTTTCCATTTCTTCCTGTTCTTTACTAGCAAATGTTTCTTTTTATCATGATTTTCAAGCCTTCATCTTCAGAGAATTTATTCTGAGGTCAGTGAATTTGTCATCTTTCCTGGTACAGAGATGCTCCTGTGCATCCTAAAAAGACTACCAAACAGTTCTCAGAAAACACAGCACACTAAGCCCCATCTAGGAGGATTTCTCTGCGACATCATTATTTTATGAAACTTATTGCATGACATTTATCGAATTATTATTGACCTCTCTTACTTCATTCCTATCAAGAGTAAAATATTAAAGCAGTGCAATAAAGTGAAAAATAAGCATCTCGCATTTTAAAAACAAATGGCTAATCTGCCAATAAAATAAATAAATGTTTGTGGGTTTTCCTATGTATGAAAAAGATAAATATTTTACTGTAAATATAAAGAACACAAATGCAAATGGCACAGTGTGCATCATTTATTAACCTTTCAGCCTATAAGCTATGTATTGGCACTTAGCACCAGCAAGCTTCATGCTGGTGGCAAGAAAAGAAATAATTTGTTGCTGAATGCATGATGAGGCCAGTCAAGGGGAAATTAAGTTATAAGTGCTTTCTTTGTAGCTTGACTCCTATATTTTTTAGATTTATAACTGAAATATTCATGAGTAATAGTAATCTAACTAGAAGACATTCACTGAAGTTGATTTTTAGCAAATAGTACAATGTTTATACAGCTGCTTAATACTTTAACTGACATCACGTCTTCTTGCTGAATATTTGACAAAGGCCAGCTCAGGTAAGAAAGACTTATTTTAGAATTCTTTCAAGACACAGAACTTAAGGAAAGTATATTCAAGAGGGATGTTTGAAGCAGCATGGAGAAGCTAAATCCTGTTAACAAATAATAAAATGTATGCTTAAATCCCATAAACTACACTCCGTATCTTTTAATGTTTATAAACAATTTATTGAAATAAATTCTTAGAGATCAGTAAAATAGTGAAATATTTCTCCTTTAAGGGAAAATATAAAAGGTAATGCTTTTTTCCTAAAAAGATTTGTTCTTTCTAGTGGCATAGCACTGCTTATGTTGGAGGTTTAAAGCCAAGTAACAATAAGATTTTATTAATGTTTAGTGACAATATGCTTAGCAGAAAGGATGGAATTGATGGATAGTATGCTTTTCTATACTGCTTGTTCCACGACTCCAGTATGTCTGTGCAGAGCACAGAATATAGTTGTATGCTAGGCACAGAGTACGGCTGATTGCTAGGCACAAGTAGAAAGACCAAGTTTGCCAACACTGAAAGGGATGACTGTGATAATTTCATCCTGTACATTCATCCCTCATTTCTCACATCGCATCTGTCAGGCATAGAATTTCTCTGTGTTTTATTTTGTTTTTTTTTTGTTGTTGTTGTTGTTTTGGTTTGTTTGTTTGTTTTTTTTTCATGTCAGAATAGTTCTCTGATGCCCAATTCAACTCACCGATGAGCAAGGATTTGCACTGACACAGCACAAAGGTGCAAAGTGAACAAGGAAGAATGAGAGGAAAACCAGCACTGGGACCCAACACTTTGTATAATGAAACTACAGTTTAAATCAGAAGCAACCTAATTTCTCTAGAGTGGAGAATGTGCAGCAGCTGTAATTACTGCCTGCAAATACAAATACTCATTCCCCCTGCTTCCATGCGGCTGAACTGCTGCTGGCCATTTAAGGCAATTCACAGTTCCCTTGCTACTGTAAGCACTTATACCCAATAACATTTCTCACTTCTCCTACTTGTTTAAAGAAGTGTTTCTTCTTAACCTACATTATCTCAGTGCTCTTCTTTATATTACAGAGGCTGAGACAAAACTGAATGCAAACTGCAGAGCAGGCACAGGAAAGGTTCTTGTTAAGATACATGGATATATGGAGCTCGTGAACTACTGTTGCTGCAGGCAATAACTGAGGATGATGAATGCTGGATGAAGAGTTTCCACCATGTTCCATCGAAAAGGGTTCCACGATAACCCTGTGTAGTTTCCCAGCACTTTTAATTTCCTTTTGTACATAGAAAATCTTGATTTTGATTTCAATGTTTCTGTTTTTAAAGCTGAGAAAACTTGGTGTGCTCATCCAGTGGTCTATAAGATTTGTAACAGGATTTTCAAGGACTGACTAGCTTCACTCTCAATGGATGGGGAGAATCTGCTGGGCAACTGTGGATGTGTCTCAAGGGCACATAACTCATCAACTTGTTTTTGCTAAATGCCTCCTGTAACCTAGTTCAACATACTCCAGCAAATTTGCCTCATGCTTTCATCCCTTTCTAACTGGATTTATTTTTTGTCCAAGCATCAGCAACACTTATTGAAACTAGGCAAAATATGACCCTAAACTACGCAAGAATCCACTCGTTTTCTTTAAAAGCACTATGGAAAGCTGTATCAAAATTGTATTTGCTATTACAGCTTTGCATTGACCAAGTGGAAATTTCCACTCCTACCACACATTTGCTAAAGCATATGATGGATTTTAGGCCTGAACAAATACTTTCCATGCTCTAGGACTAGAATGAGCCAGATTTGCTCCATTTGAATTTGAAAGGCTAATTCATTAGCACATTACGCCTACATCAAAACATTCATCCTCAGAGGTGCTAAAAAGTCATCTGTCAGTTTTCTAGAATTTTTAGTACCTTATCATCTTTACCCATATTGCAGGATAATTTTCTTTCATATCAAAAATGATATCTAAGTTTGGCTTTATTTGCATCTTTCTCTCTACATCCTAAGAATTTTCATAAGTGGACAGATTGGACAAATCTTTCAGCTGGTGACCTCCACTGGTGCCATTAGAGTTACACTGCCTTTGTACTGTTCTGAAATCTCTTTTGATAGAATGATAAACACAATAGGATCACAAGTATTGGTCACTCAAAACAAGAATGCACAAGCGTAGCAGGGCATGGAGGCAGCTCCCCACCCAACTGCTGGTTCTACGGAATTTTCTGACTAACCTGTTTCCACCATGCAGCTACATACTTAGTTCCCCAATACATTCAGCTTTCCATTTTCTTCGCTTTATCCTCAGAGTCCTGAAGAAGCAAAAAAATATTTCTGAGAATGTTTCTATTCTCATTTAGCCAATTAAATTCTCTGGTGCATGTGCCATAGTGAGATTTACACACACATACACTCAACAGTAAATCAGTAGCAGTGTTAAAATATTTCTCAATGGGAGTAGCTGGGGCATACCAGGTTCCTAATAAAGAGAATTTTCTAGATGGGTTTGTCTGTTTAGCTTTTTGTTTTGTTTTGTTTTAATTTTAGCATCATTCTGACCTGCAGCAGGCTTTCTGAACCCGAAGAACAGGTGAGCAAGCAGAAAGCAGATGAAAGGCACCTTTTGAACAAGTCACTTCTAGCAGCATCACAGAGGTTGATCTGAAAGGATAAGCAGAGGCAGAGATGAGAGCTGTAGTCTGCAGAAGGTCCTAAGCCAGCTTCCCACAGCTGCTTTGCAGAAGATGTGTCCAGCAGAAAAGGACCAGGAATCTTCTGGCACCCCTAAGATGCAACTACAAGAAGAGAAGAAAGGAACAGAAGAGAGGAACATTTATGTTTACTGTTATGTGGCCGTTTGAAGCCAGTAATGAAAGGTTCTATTTAATAAAATAATAGAGAGATAGTCACTGGAGGGATTTGAAGAAATGAATTACATCTCTGTGTCAATAAAAAGGAATATTACTCTTGTAGTTCATTTTATAAGAACCAAAAGAAGAATGGACTGAGTGACTATTTGTGGTGAAAGATTCAGGGTTTGCATGTCAGACATTAAGTTTAATAAATAAAACCAAAAATACCTAACCATACATTCATCACAATTGTAACATATTTTGCTACTAAAAGTATCTGTTGATCCTTCTTCTCCACCTTATTTGTCCAGAGTTGACAAAAATCTTTTCTTTCCGTTTTTTCTTGAGTGAGAAAATGCATTTGCTATCAGAGATGCCACCACCAGCTTTTCTTTAATCAAAAGGAGACATTCAGCTGAACCCTTACCAATTAAATTTCAGAGTGTTTACATAAAACTTGATGTGGATACAATTCATTTCTGTGTGTTGTAAAGACAATGGTTTTTATCCTGCAAAATGCAGCACATTTCCATATTTATCACTGTAAGCATAGAATTGCCTGAAGGCAGCACATCTTTAATTAATTTTTACTGCAGTGTGAAAAGAATCTTAAATCATTAATCACTTGCCTTTCACTATATCCTGAAAGAAATTTTTCCTTTTCTGTTCTATATACATGCATACATACACGCACAAACACACACACATACAAAATCCCCTTGACTTTCCAGCACTCTGGTTACAAACTGAACCCCTTTATACCCTTTGATCTGTGCTGCTCTACCCAACAGAGGGTAATCTTCCAGTGAGATTAGGGTCACTGCAGTTGCCAGTGACTCGTCAGCAATTTCTCCTAGAGCCTGTTTCACTTTCTACAAGCACAGATACCAGATTGAATGTAACATTTAAGTATATTTTTTAGCTGATTGATTTTAGCTTCCATTCACCTTCCAGAATTGGCTGACAACTGTTTCCTCAGCCCAAACACCCTTCTGTCTTCTACTTCTTTCCCCTGCAAGAGGTGAATAAATAGGTTCTCAGAAGAGAAGGCAGCTCTATTACATCCATATACATGTTTCCTTTCCTACATAAATGTCAGCATATGAAATGTTACACTTTAGTAATGCAGAAGGGCACCTTAAAATGAATGTATCTGCACATTTCATCTGCTGCCTAAACAAAGCTTGTCAAATCAATTTCTTATACATTCCAAACATTGTATGAATGTTAACTTAAATTTCCAACAGCCCTCTACCACTAGCAGTCATTACTGCCCCCATCTAAAGGATGAATGAATGATGAAAAAGAGACAATGAATTATGCTTCCTAATTACTTCTATGATTCTGAAGTCTTCCTTCTAGAACTGGTTAACCTCAGGGTTAGGCAATAATTATTTGGTGGCTCATATAAGGAACCCAGGATCATATGAAGAGAGAACTAGATGCATACACTGAAATTTTTGCCCTAAACTATAGTATGCAACAAACTATGATACTTAAAAAAAAAATAAATAAATACAACCTCCATATTAATCTGAAGGACTAATCTTATTTTTAAAGTTCACAGGTATTAAGTGTGTCTGAATATTCTGCTAATCTTGGTAAGAATGAGAAATTAAGTAACTTTACCATACCTAAGCATGATCAGAATCCAGAAATGAGACATCCATCTGCTCGGGCAATACAAGAGGTCACACTGAGGGAATCAAGTCTACGTCAAGCTTTTGTGCTGCGTCTTTCACAGTGAGGTGAGCAGTTTTCGTTCAGTGAAGACTAACAGGCAGTCCAGCTGAGGAGGCCAGCTCACTTAGTGAGCTGCTTGATCCACAGCTTCTATGAGACAACACAGAGAGATTCAGTCTCACATCAAAGACAGCTGAATACATTGTTCTGATGATTTTTGACAACTGAAAATAAATCTCCTTAAAACTGGAATATAAATAGTCTTCATTTGTGTGTTGCAGCTAAATGCATAGCTATATTTTAACATTTTCTAATCACTGTTTTTCTGAATTCAGCATCTTCCTTTCATTTCAGCCAAATTCATGAAAAAAAAAAAAAAAGTGTAAAGCGATTTTAATATCTCAGTGGATAAGAGTTTCTGTTCTCAAGTAGCATTACCACTACTGCTTTAAAATGATCTTCTGAACCATGAAGACAGATTCTGAAAAGCACCTTTTGAATATGCTCACAAGCTTGTTTAACATGTTACCCTCAAGGTTAGCATTTTAGAGCTGTGTAGCAGAGGAATCCTTTCAGTGGTGGCAGACAAATTGAGGCTACACAACTTTCTGCCTGCACACATTCTGCAATAGATACTTGCTTTCCTTTCCCTTCACTATTAACATTTGCTGTGTGTCAAATCAACAGATTTAGGCAGATAGTTTCTGAAAGTTATTGCTAAAACGAAATGCTACCTCTCTTACTTTCTTTCTCTCAATAGTGGATATGCAACAAAACGATGAGCAAATATAAGAGTTCCCTACTTAGTGTTTATATGTATCCAACAGTATTTGTAAACTACTATATGTATTACACAGTAGTTTCTGCTTACATATATATCTATATATTTTGTGAAGACTGCTCTTTAGAAGATGATGAGCCTCCTGTGAAGGGAGCTCTTGAAAAGTGGATCTACTCAATCTTGGCTTCTGAAGTAGATTAAAGCATATTTAAAGCAGATCATTATTTCCACATTGTGGTTTTGTGATGATATTCTTCAAACCAGTGTGGTTCTGATTGTTTGAAAGTCTAAAAATACTTTATATGTATATATTATATGTATATATAACTTCATGATCGTAATATATACTCAGAGTTCATATTCATCAATCTGAAAAGAAAATATATTGTGCATTCAGAGTAATTTTTTGCATATTCAGACTATAAAATAAAATTTCTGCAAAAGAGATGCTTTATAGTAAGAATTAGTGATTAATTTTATGTGATTGCAATTAGGAAAAATTCATCTTTATTTGGTTTTTAAGGGCAAATTATTGTTTAATTGAGATCAAAATAAGAATCAAAAAAAGAATAACATCACATGACATCTCAGATCAGATCTTCTCTATAAGAGTTAACAGAAACCTTTATGTCCGAACTCTAGATCCCAAAACCTGTCCTTTACTTAATTAAGTAAAGCATAACAGGTCCTGAAGATGAAAGTTGCTGGAGCTGTCTGAAATTATAATAGAACTGTAATAGAACAAATAAGAGATCATAAACAAGAAAAAAAATCCACTTAAATTGTGCCACTGGACAGGTCATCACAGCAGGAAGCATCATTGGTTTGCGAGAGTTTAAAGCCTGCTTGCATTACATATGTTTGAGCACTGGTGATTTAAAAGATTTTTCTATGCCTTAGATTTCTATAGTACTTTCTTACAAAACCCCCTCACTAATCAAAACAAAATATTTTTAAAATGCTAAGCATACTTTCATGCTGAAGGCTTAAGAATAACCCCGTTACGTCTGTTGTAGCAACTGCAGCAACTGGCACAGCAATAGCAGGTGTGCTACTCTCAGCTTGGGCATTGTGGTGAATTCCTGAAATCCTTAATGAGGCAGGTAGTTGCATTTCCCGTTATTTAGCAAGACTGTACCTTTTTAAAGGTGTACAAGTACGAAAAAATAATTATTTCTCTCTGCTCTTGTTTTTTTGCTTTTTGTTTCTCTCATAACAGAAACACCTGAATCATTCGTATGAGCTATTATTTACATTAAATATATATGTAATATATATTTATATATTATATATTTATATATATTTATATATAAAGTAAATATGTAATACTGTACAGGCAGTAAGACAAAAATGAGCCCTCCTTACAGAAAACAGAATAAGATAAAACAATGATATGTGAGTTGAATTCAACAGAGTAGAAAGAAAATCAGAAGAAGAACACATTTATTTGTGTGTACAATAGATATGCCTGATTAAATATAATTAAACTCAAGTGAAATATGTTATTTTGAATATTATAATACGTACAGTTTATCTGCTACTCAGGAATGGTATTTTCCCTGAGCAGGACATATAAATTTAAAGGACTGAAAAGAAATACTTACAATGACTTTGGTGAAAATCATAAGACAGATAATCTGCCCAAGGCAAAAATCTCTAAATGTTATAGCAAGAAAAGATATGTCTTTCAACATCTGTTAAGAAATAGGTAGCAATGGATAAAAGATAAAAGATGGAAAATGCAACTACACTGATGATTTTTTTTAGAAGGTTGTCATCCTCTTTACTCTCCTAGGTAAAATGGGATTCCCTTTAAAGGAGTGTCCCTCAAATCTATAAATCAAATTATGACACAGAGGAGGTATTTATTTTTAATATGATGAAGAACAAACATTTGAAGATTTTAAAAGGTCAGTCAATTCGTCTCAGCTCTAAGTTTCTTGCATTATGGCAGTCACCTTACATATAAAAAATTCATCCTCTCAACATTAGGTTGAGGTCTTTACTTTGAGGTGTTTTATCCATGTTTTACAGGTGGGAAATTGAACTTGTGAGAATCCCAGATTTTAACCACTGATAAAGAAAAGATAGAATCATAGAATTATAGAATGGCCTGAGTTGAAAAGGACCACAATGATCATCCGTTTCAACCCCCCTGCTACGTGTGGGGTCACCAACTACCAGACCAGGCTGCCCAGAGACACATCCAGCCTGCCCTTGAATGCACATTTTCTCTCCCAAATCATATCATATTAAGTCACCTAAGCTTAAAATCTTCATGTTCCACCAATAAAGAACAGGTGTATGTCAGCTGGGCTGCTTCAGGAATGGTCTCAATGAAATTATTTGCCAGTAGATCAAGCATATTGAAAGGACATCATGCCTTCTCAATTAAAGACAGAAGAACTTAGCAGGTGCATTGCCATAGGGAGAGATAAATAGAATATAATTTTATAGATTTATAGAATAACCTCTCTTTCTTACCTCCCTTGTCTCTTTCTGATTTAAACAGGAGCTACAATGACATACAAAAAAATCTCAAGGTATAGTAGAGATACAGGGAATAGGGACTACTGACCTCATTTAATGGAGAATTACTTTTTCTCCCCAGCAGCAATGCTATCTTACTCTGGAATGTTATGTGGTCAAGTTATGTCTTTCTTGGAGGTATATCCCAAGTGAAGAAAAAAGAGGAAGTCTTGGGAGCCTGCCAGTCTTGCAAATAGACTGAATGACTTGTTTCACTGAAGGAACATCTCTCATTCTCTTTGACTCAAGGCACATCAGATGATTTTGAAATGATCACATAAGAGCAAAATAAGTCTGTTCTGGCAACTGTATTGTAGGAAATAAGGAAAGGTAACCAGGCCAATAATAGCAATTTACAAAGTTCAGGAAGGAGGTGCCTGAGGTTTAAAAAGTCCACAGTTCAATTAAATGCTAGAAGAAGCACTGCAAAGAAAAAGATTATCAAAGTTGAAAAAGATTACAATGGGAAAGAAAAGTATAAACCACAAACTTTATTTCTTGCTTAAACTAGCAGTTTATATAATTAATCTATAGATTGACACAAAACAATTGCTTTCCAGAATCTGCTACTGAGTATAAAGCAACCTCAGGCTCCACCTAAAAATAGATGTGAGGAGCCAGACGTCAGGTCAGCAAGATTTGACTGCCTTTTGCCCCTGCTTCCCATCTCTCTATGTGAAAACAGGATTGTCACTTCAGGAAAAACTGCAGTTCTTTGGTACTAGGAGCTGCTTTAGTATTTCCAGTCCAGTAATTCCTTTAGGAATAAAGCTTGCAAGGGTCTGTAAGCAAAGGCTCTAAGGGTAAATGCAAGTCAGACAAGCTTCTTTTCGTTTTTTTTTTTCTTCTGTCGTTTTGAAGGAAGTTCTTCAGTGACAAAAGTCATATTTATGGTATTTATGGTTTTAATCTGTTTTTTGTTGTTTTTTTTTTTTTAATCCAGAATTGGTAATACTAAATATTTAGAGGTTGATATTTATTCCGAATGTATGCTTACATTTCATTCATATCACAACCTAAGGTCTGCACTGAATGCAAATACAATAAAAGGAATAGCTTAGTGCTGATTATTTATGTCAACGTTCTGCTGGATTGGAACTCAGAAAAGACAATCATTTCACCCTCTTAACTTTTCCTACTCATGGAGAACAAAGTATTTCTGCAGTAAGGAGTATTGCCTTGAAGAGCTTCATTACAACTCTGAAAAGGAGAAAATTATCAATTTATACTCTTCTTGAAACTATACTATATCACTAGAAATTGTTCCTGTCTTTTCTTATTTTTCAACATGAAGCCTGGTAGAATGTAACTTATCACTGTAGTACAATTGCCTACAATAAGACACCATCTCAGTCCTGTCTCTTCTCCCTATCAATCCAAAACTGAATTATATAAGAATAAGAAATAAAAAATAGATGGTATGATTGCTCCCAATTTCTATAAAATGCATATTTTTTTCTTATAGTCCAATTGAGAGGAATTAATAGCAGTGTTAACATTTAATAACTATGTCATCCCATCTAAAGAAATAAAATCCTAATAGTTAAACCATTTTATATGGAATTCAGCATTAATTACTCACCAAAATGTCAATATCAATTACTTAATGAACCATTCAGAATGGCATCTCACTGAAGCTAATGTGATCTTTAAGATCTAATTCAACTGTGCTGTACTTCAAGCTTAGTGGTATCACTGTTGGACTACAGAATGTATGCTCTGTTATACATTTTCACTCTCATCATCTCCTTCTCCCTCCTCTCTGATCTCAGCTTGCCTCTAGAGGTATCTATTTCTTTTTTGTCCGACAGTGCTTGAATCATTTTTTTTTTTGCACAGT